AAAATTAGAATAAAAGAAAAAAAAAAAAAAAAAAAAAAGGGGGGGGGGGACAGAAATAACCCACCAGTTTATCGGTACTCCCTAATACTGAAGAAGACACAGGCTGACTGGAAATCGTTCCTTGTTTTAAAGCAGCATCCATGTTTGATTCCTTCCAGTCTGCGTTGGAGATTTGTGGGGGCTTTACCACAGGACCCGAGTTCTGTTTAAGCGGTGGCCAGTTTCCATCGTTTGCTTAAAACAGAGGGAAAAGAGTTTTACTTAGGAGTTACTGTAGCGCAAACCTGTCAAGAATTGATCAATTCCCAACAGAAAAACAGAAAGCGAGACAGAATCAATTATTCAGATTAGTGACATTAGAGGATGATTTCAAGATACCAAAAAATCAGTCGTGTAAGGGGTGGCATCCAGGGGTTGCATGCTTAAGCCTCAGGCAAAACAAGCTGCCCGTAATATGCTTGCTGCTCTAAACACTACTAAAAGCTGGTCCAGACTTCGTTAATGGTGCGGAGATGTCTGCAAATTTCTCATGACTCCAGAAAAAGCCCCACCCCGTGCAATGGAAGTGCTGCAGCATCCGTTATATTTTTATACTTTTATAGGAGAATGCAAAAATGTAAGCTTCATTTGCAGTTGTGTGTCAGGGAATACACATTTCTCCAAAGCCACAGAGCTGGAGGACTGACTATGAACCCCCCCCAGACATACTTGCAATATAAATAGACCCTTCATCCAGGAAACTGGTAATTTACGGAAATCAGGAAATTACTGCTACTACTCTGTCCTCCACCCAACAATGTATTCTCTGTCTGGAACTTTTCCTCTAAAGGCACACCTTAGAATAATTTTAAAAATGCATCTCAAAAGCATAGCTATTTTTAATTTGTAATTATGCATTTTTGCTTTCTAAATAGAATTAAAAATTCTTAAAATAAGGCATTTTAATGTTTTTGCACTTTTTCCAATCAGAAAGTATCAAGAATTTCTGCTTTTGGCCAGACGTATGAACAACCTTATATCATTTCTAAGGTGGCAGTACTAAGAAACCTTACCTGGAAGAAAGTCTCCTTGAACTTAATAGAACTTTCTTCTGGGTAGGATTGGGCAACTTGAATCACAAAAATGTTAACACATTTTTTTTAGTATTATTTTGACAAGAAAGTGACACTTTATGTAATATTTATTATTATTTAATAATTTAACATGTATTTTAAAGTCAATAAACAGCTGTGTCATGGAGTTACATGACTATTTAGAGATAGGCACAATGGTTTGGTTCATGGTTCATGGCTGAACCACAAACCAAACCATGAACCTATATGAACTGGGAGGCTGGTTCGCAATCCAAACCAATTCATATGGGTCCGTGACCCCTGCTTTCGGCCCCCCACCGCTTTTTGCAGGGAGCAGAAAGCAGTGGTTTAAATAGCTCCAAGCCATTTAAATGACTGCTTTCTGCTCCCCACTGAAAGCCATGGACAGCAGAAACCAGTGGCTTAAATGGCTCCCAGCCATTTTAACCAAACAGCTGAGTGGTGGAGCGCTGCTCAGCTGTTTCGTTTAAATGGCTTGGAGCTGAACCCAATAAAGCCCCTTTAAACAGCTGAGCCATGTGGAGCAGTTTGCTCTGTGCAGCTCAACTGTTTAAAGGGACTTTCTTGGACAGTGAGCCCCAGGGACCGGCTACTCAAGAATGCCCCCCTTTTAAACAGCTGGGTGCAAGAGCAGGCTCAGCTGTTTAGAGCCTGAAACAGCTGAGAGGTCAGGAGCAGCCTGCTCCTGCTGCTCTGCTGTTTTGGTGGCTTTCGCAGGGAGGAGAAAGCAGGGGTTTAAACCCTGCTTTTTGCTCCCCACAAATTGTCTTAAAAGTTCATGGAGGTTTGTGGCCAGGCTGCAGTTCAGTTCACGAACCACCCAAAATTCGTCAGGAACAAAGGTTCATGAGCTGGTTTGTGCCCATCCCTATGTCTGTTACATCCCTTGACTATAAATGTGAAAACTCACAGGAAGAACAACAACTATGGAAAGGACAAGATATACTTTGATTAGGAGGGGTAGTGATATCTAGAAGTGGATCCTTCCATTTTATAAGAACCTAAGAGGAATTTACAGGCTAGCTAATGCAAACACATGGCTTACATTTATAGTATCCCTGACAATATCCCTTTTGTCTTAGCACCTTTACAGAAAAACAGACTCTAGCTTAGCCTTAATGGTGGCTCAACAAACAAATGGTTTTTCTGACTTGCTTTATGGCTTACTGTGTACATCACATTCAAGTGCATTCCACACCTGGGCTAGTGCCTGAGGCAGACATTAAAGGTTTGCTCCTTAAAAACAGAGTACACCCACCCACTGAAATTTACAAGGGAATTAATTCATGAAATGAAAGAAAATTCTGCTAAAGATGAAATTCAGGTTCAACTGTAGCCTTCCAGTGATTGTAGAAGCTCTCTCTCTTCACATCTATCCTAGAAGTTATTGCTGAATTTAATCTATCTCAGAAATACAAAAATTGCCATAAGCTGCCCCGAGTCCACAGCAGGCTTTATTTCATACCGAAAGGTAATTAGTCAGAAATTAAATGTCTTTTGATTTCTGATTTGACAGTAAAGATCATTGTGAATATCTTGTAGTTTTGTGCAACATACAGTTCAAAAACTGCTGTTTTGTGCTTTCTGAGTGCCACGAAGAGCCGGCTTCAGGCCCAACATCAAGGTCTGACACTGTCCAAGATCTTTTTTTACCATCATCTGGGGTAGTACAAAAAAAATCAGAAAGTCAAGTGAATACATTCCTCCCAAATGTCATAACCACCTGGAAATGAGGGAAATCTTCTAAATATGAACTGTTGCACCAATGAATACTAATCCAGTGAATATATTCCACATGTAGGAACAAGTGTCCATACCACGCAGAGGTTCTCTCATTTGCATCAAGAGGGTTGCTCTTATGCTGAAGTACTGATCTAAAAGATTCACATCAATCTCCCAGATCACAAACCACTACCAGGAACCTTCTTTCCCAGCTTAATTTCAGAAGGTATATTTTAGGTCAGCAGTTCAGTAGAAAGTTGCATTATTTTCCTGTTTTAGAGCAGGATAATGGGTCGGATCCACGGAACTGCAAATGGAACAGTGTTTGTAAAAAGGATCTTCACAGATTCTCCCTTTCCATTGTATCCCTACTCCACACCCCACTACCTCTGAGGGTCAGGGGATCTCTTTGAGAACAATGCAAGATTCAATGTACATTTCCTTTCCCAACTGTGTCTTCCTGTGCCAGATCCTACACTGTTCCTGAGCCTTTTCATGGGGTGCAAGAGGCTGCAGTGGGACAGGAGAAATCGGTAAAGATCCACCCTGCAAATTCTGCTCCTGTTGTCTGGATCTAAGCCAAGGTATGGGGGCTGCAGAAGAAACTGTGGTATGTACCATTACACACCTTATGAAAAACAAGACTGTTTTCAAGTGAGATGCTGGCACAAAATTCTACCCTACTTAGGAACTTTCTAAGTGTTTCGAAGCATAAAAGCACCCTTTGAAGAACAGAAGCCAGTGCATTTTGCAGAAGAGTTCAGAAAGTCAAATCATTTTCATTCTTTTTGAAGGAAAATGTACCTGAAAAGAGTGCCAACTTCTTCATGGTTGTACAGTTTTGCAGAATTGCTGTTTGAAATAATGATTACGCACAACGAAAATCTGTGTCCTACACCGCTACATATATAGCAGGTGCTTCTTTTGTGACAGTTTTCCTCCCCTACTATACAGGTCTATTTCCATAATTTTAAACACAACAAGAAGCCTGTGTTCAAAGGAGGTCTCTGTCGTTTAGTTGCTAATAGGAGAAAACTGTTTCTACTGAAAACAAACATCTGAAAATTCATTCTCTTCCTTGGATGTTGTTACACTGGCCAGGATCAGGTATGCCTGATTTTTTTTTCTTTAAGTAATAAAGCACACCTCCTCCCCATCCACCCTGCTCCCATATCACAAAGTGCTTTTGAAACTCTCAATTTCAAAAATTCTTGTCCATGGCACAGAGGGTCAGCTGTTCAAGACAGACAAGCCTAAAGCTGCATCCAGAAATACCTGGACAATTTCTTGGATCCAGATCAGCACTTTCCCTTTCAAAAACCTGGTCTTTAAACTACCCTAAGTTCAAAATTCAGGAGCAATGTGAATATTAACACTTTAAAGGAAACACATAGAGGAGTGAGAGCACAGGCATCACCAGAAGATGAATTGACTTTGATCCCCATGAGTCTTTTGCAAGATTCACACTCCAATACACCACCAGCCAGTAAGCGGCAAACTGTATTTTAAACAGGAAGAGTATTTTTGACCAAACAATAATGGCCAGTGCCACTCATGGGTACATGGAACTGGATCTCACTGAATCAAAGGCGGAGACATGTTTACTAGGCCATATTCTGTAAACTAGGCACTTGACTTCAACTAATGTTACTTGGGGCTTCAATGACTGTTAGAGGTCTCTAAGCATCTGAAAACTAGATGGCATGGAACTGGAGTCCAATTTCTTTTTCTTTTCTTTTTTTTTGGGGGGGGGGAATGGGTAAGAGATTAAAGTGAATTGTCCCTAGCCACACAGTAAACCTCCTAACCCTAACCCCCTTAAAAAAACAAGAATCAAATTACATACAAGCAACGCCTGTTTGTGCCAAATAGTAAAAACCCCAGTAGCACCTTTAAGACTAACAAACCTCATTGTAGCATAAGCTTTCGAGAAACACAGCTCTCTTCATCAGATACGTCTGACGAAGAGAGCTGTGTTTCTCGAAAGCTTACACTACAACAAAGTTTGTTACTCTTAGAGGTGGCTACTGGGCTTTTTACTATTTGGCAGCAACAGACTAACACAGCTAACTCCTCTGGATCTATGGTGGAATCATTACATCTACAACTTGGTCAGTTGGTGACACTCAAGATACTAGCATAACTAATATTAACTAATGGTTTAGATTTTTTGGACACGTGAGAGCAACAAAAGAGACCAGTAAGAAATTTGTTCCATTGTATTCTGAGGATTTCAACAATATATATGAACACCGCACTCACACACGTATATGTACGCATGGACACAAGTATAGAAAGCATACAGCAGGGCATGACAAAATGTCTAAACAGTCCCATTTAATATGCATCTGGTATGCTGAAGCTCAGATGGCCATATTAAAGAAATGGGATCTCTTAGCTTACTAAAGATCTTCTACAGACTCACAGTGCAGAATCTCAGAAAGAGTAGATGCTGAATGGATGATATTGTGAGCAGCAGACTGAAGAGAGGGAGGTGAGAGAATAGGATCCACTATAATGTCTAAATCAGAAATCTTCCAGGGAGCTGGAGATTTTTTCACACCCCCAAAGTCTGTATCTAAAGAAGACGACCAGGCAGAACCAGTCACCCAGAGAAAAGGAAAAGCGGAGGAAAATTACAACATAAAGACAAAAAAAGAGATTAAAATGTAAAAAAGAACAGGAAAATACAGGGGTAGAAGTATGATATTTGGCAGAATAAAGAAGAGCCTTTATACAGTGTCTTGAATAGAATGTGGGTACAAACCATTTTAAGCTTCTATAATTATCCTAAATGTTTTATGATGCATTAGACATAAACCAAACTTACAATGCAATCCTATACCAAGTTACTCCAGTCTAAGCCAATTGCAACTCTGCAGAGGATTGTATGGTTGGTTATTCAGGCAAGTGTACTTCCAGTTAGACATAAACTGAACTGTCTAACTGCTGGAAGGGGATTGCTCTATGCAGAGAGTTGTTCTGATAAGTTGGAATGCTAAATGCACAGATAAACTATGCAAAAGGAAACAACAGGTTGGAGAAAGAATAATCGTAAATACATGTAACGACATAGGGTAGTTTTTACATAGCCAGAAATGATACCCGCACCAGAACTGTTCTTATATATACATCTCATAAGTTCATATAAACTTCTAATCAAAGCTGTGTTTAATTTACTAAGTATCCAAACGTGTTTGATGCAAAAAAGACCCCCGGGGGGGGGGGGGGGGCCCTGCCCCCCCGCCACAGCAGCTTGTCTGCCCAGCCTCCAGTCTGCCAGAGGGGGCAGAGGGCATCTCCTTTGTCACCTCCCTTAACACAAACGACAGCTGGCATCCATGACGTTGAGCCACTTACCGGATTTGGATCTTCCGTGAGTCCCACTAGTGGTGATGGTGAGAGACTGCGGCTTCACGGGGTCTACTGGCACAGTGTAACTGCTGGAACTAGGAACCTGAATGTAGGGCCCCACGGCCGCGACTCTGCCTGAAGTGCTCAAGGAAGACTGAGGAGACGACGTTCCGTTTATCCGGTTCAACTAAAAGACGACAAATCAAAAAACTGTGTGAGCATCTATCTATCTGCTCAAGGCTGATTTGTTGCAAAGAGCATGGGAGAATGCCATGCATTTCTCCTCAGCTCAAAACCCAGTCGCTTCCTGCCCCAGACATTTTGGGTTGTATCCTACTGCTCCACTCAAGCTAGCGGCTCTCCCATTGAAGGAAGGCCCTCTTTGCAGGGAGGGATGCGCTGCCATTACCAGAGTTTGTTTATTCATTTACTTCATTTAAACCCCACCTTTCTTCATGGCGGGGGCCCCAAACTGCTTATATTACTCTCCTCTCCTCCACCGATAATGTCACAAAAACCCTGCGAGATAGGTTAAGCTAAGAGTACGTGAGTGGCCCCAGGTCGCCGAGGGCTTCCGTGGCACGAGTGGGGATTCAACCCTGGGTCTCCCAGATCCTAGTCTGGTACTCTAACCACTACACACGCTGGCTCACACCTCTACTCGAACCAGAAATAGACTTTTCCAAATGATGTTTATGACGGTCTCACTTTTCTTCTATTGCCTGTATTCTCCAGCTACTGAGGTCTCTCCAGTGCCAGAAGGCATGTATTACTGAGTGTTCCTTCCATCCCAGACGGAATCCCAGAGTTCTCTCTCTTGGATACCATCCTGTCCCACTGGCTCCCTGCCACAAAAGGTATAGTTTACACAATATGAAACTCACGGGATTACTCGTGAGGATTAAGACAGTTCTACTGGCACTAAAAAAATTACCACCAGATCATTACTCTATTGTTTCTGGTCTGGCAACTATAGTATCCCGGTGCACAAAACTGTATTTCTGCATCACTTTCGACTTATGTGGAACTCACGGTGCGATGCCACATTCAATTTATACTCTCAAGGGTCCTGTGGCAGTTGCACTGCTTAAATGGCAGGCTGGACATAAGGTTAATCTCAGCAGATTGTAACAAACCGTAAACAACACATTCTCAGTTTTTTAAAAAAAGATTATGGACATTAAACTTTTTTTTTCATTTTTAGACAAGTTCAAGAGATGGAAATAATTTGCAACGAACAGCGTTTGGCGGCTGGACAAAATTAACATCATTTTTTTTAAAATGATGAGCTTTGCAGAAGTCACTGAAACGTGGCCCTTTTAATAGTTTATCTTACAGGGATGTTTTCTTTTTGACGTGCCTCAACTTTTTTCTTGTACAGGCGCTCGCGTAGCTCACTGATGCGCTTGTCCATCATGGCCACCTCCATGTTGCGTTTGTTCAGGAGCTCCTTCTGCTGCTGCAGCTTGGTGTTCTGTTCCTGGTTAAGCCTGTTACGAATCTTTAAAGACCACAGCGGTTATCATTCATAGCTGACGCCACTTCACTTCCAGTTGGGGAGGTTAAAACAACAACAACAACAACATACTGATCTCTGGCTGGGATCCCAAGAGCTACTTTAAGGGGGAACCCCAAGGGCTTAAGTACACTGACCCGGATGGCCCAGGTTAGCCCTTACCTTGTTGGACCCTGGAAGCTAAACTGGGTTGGCCCAGGTTAGTACTTGAATGGGAGACCACCAGGGGAGTCCAGGGTTAAGACACAGAAGTAGGCAGTGGCCAGCCACCTGTTTTCTCTTGCCTTGAAAACCCGTAAGTTAGCTGCTACTTGGTGGCACTTTCCACCAAGGGCTCGAATGTGGTCTATGGATTTTTTAAAACTTTTGAACAGCTCACTCCCATGCTGTATCACAATTTTTTTTTAGTTTAAACTTTTGGTAAAGGTTTATTTTAAAAAGAAGTAAAGATTTAAAGTTCCCCTTGAGTGCACAGAACTGTTTATGCAGCTTTTTGGCTCCAGGTCTATGGAGACTGATACCTGAAACTTTATAATACAAATAAATCCAATTTATTCCAATGGTACGTTCTTCCAAGTTAGGTCAGAATGTTTGGTGTAGCTGGTTGAATGCACTTCCTTCCCATCATGCAGTGTCAGTTAGTAATAACCTAAGCACATGGTCAGGTAACAGTAATTAGAGTAAAGCTTCCGAGCAAGGAACTTTTTCATAAAGAGCATGAAAGACAGAAACAAGGGTGGGATTCAAAGGCTCTGCTGGAATAAGACACTTTTACTAGCAGAACTGAACTCCCCCACTTCCCTTGAAGCCTACTGAACTCACCGAAATTCTGCTCCAGGGGCATGGGGGACCCTCACAAACAATGTGATGGGAGAAATCAGTGAAGCACACCCCACACACACTCTCAAGCTTACAGAAAAGCACTGTGGTGGTCAAGTTGGTGTGCCGCCCTGGCATCACTTAATGTGAACATAAACATACTGATCCAGACAGATACAGCAGTATAGCCGTGTTGGTCTGAAGCAGCAGAACAAAGTTTGAGTCCAGTGGCACCTTTAAGACCAATGTGGTCATGTTCTGGGTATAAGCTTTCAGGTGCATGCACACTTCTGTGTGTGAAGAAGTGTGCATGCATATGAAAGCTTATACCCTGAATAAAACTCTCGTGGTTTTAAAGGTGCCACTGGACTTAAACTTTGTCATACTGACCCAGAGATTTTTTACAAGGTGCAGTGTATCCATGATGCTATCAAGAGGAAAAACCCCTCACTTTTCTTAAATCTAACAAGCTCTAAGTTTATGTCTCCAATGTTTACCTGTAGCTCTTGATACAATTTCTTTAATTCTACAGCCGCGGGCCCCGTCATCTGTCCATTGTAAGACTGGAATCCATTCAGCTTCCCTTTTCTCAAGTCTTCTAGCTGTTGAGTAAGCTGGTCTACTTTTAACACTGCCGCTTGTAATTCCTGTTGCTTTTCTTGGAACATGGCACTGATATGCTCTATCTCAGTAGCTAGGATTAAAAAGTAAAATGATACACACGCAAATTAATTGAGTGGCCGTAAGAGACGCTCTGCAGATATTTTTCTTGCCGCTTCTGTGTGCAAGAATCACAGCATGTGATTCTATGTGCAGCGGAATTACAGGGCAAGGAAGAATTAAAGAGAAAACGTGCCAGGTGTCATCCGTATCAGGGTAACGCTGTGGATGGCAACACCAGCTCTGTGTTCCAAAGCCTGACAACACAGTCTCAGAATGCTCACTAAGCTAAGCCCAAGTCTCGTGGTAGGAGTTTCCCAATTCATACTGCAGAGTTCCTGAAGAATGGGACCAGTGATTTCCTGCTCCCTAGGATCAACGCAGCATCATACAAGCTAGTTACATTAGTACCTGCCTTGAGTCCCCACTGGGCAAAAAGGAGGCTGAAAACGTCATAAATAATAAGGGGCAAACGTGGGAGGCTGGGAAGTTGAAATGGTATATGAAATGGTCACGTGACTCTGCTCCATATGGAAGAAGAGAAGAGATTGGATTTATACCCCACCCTTCACTACCCGAAGGTGTCTCAGAGTGGCTTACAAACTCCTTTCCCTTCCCCTCCCCACAACAGACACCCTGTGAGGTAGGTGGGGCTGAGAGAGCTCTTGACAGAAACTGCTCTTTTTCAAGGACAGCTCTTATCAGAACTACGGCTTGCCCAAGGTCATCCAGCCAGGTGCAAGTGGAGGAGTGGGGGAACAAACCCGGTTCTCCCAGATTAGAGCCCGTGCACTTAACCACTACGCCTGGTAGTAGCACAGGACGCTCACTGAGTCCCAAAACCCCATTTGCAGTGAAGGCCTGTGCCACAAGGCTCTCTGAAGAATTAACTCTTCACAGTCCTTAGGTGGAGAAGGAGGAGGAGATTGGATTTATACCCCACCCTTCACTGGGAGTGGCTTACAAACTCCTTTCCCCTCCCCTCCCCACAACAGACACTGCAAGTTCCCTCTAAGCTGTGGAGTCTTGTGAGCAAAAATTCTCCTTTGTGAGCTCCTAGCATTAAAATTGTGAGCGAGTGGTTTGGCTACTGCATAAATCAGTTTGCTCTGGAGCCATCCTTCCTGAGCTAAGACAAAAATGTGTGAGCCGGAAGCTAAAAAACTGTGAGCTAGCTCACACTTAACTCAGCTTAGAGGGAACGGTAGGTGGGGCTGAGAGAGCTCTTTCAAGAACTGCTCTTTCAAGAACAGCTCTGATAGAACTATGGCTTGCCCAAGGTCAGCCAACCAGGTGCAAGTGGAGGAGTGGGGGATCAAACCCGGTTCTCCCAGATTAGAGACCATACACTTAACCACTATACCAAGCTGGCTCTCTAGGTTGTTGGTACAGCACTTCTAAGCCTCTTAAAAAGTGCAGTCCACCACAGCCTCCATAGGATTCACTTGGGTGTTTGTAAATAAGTCTGATACATATAAAATGAGTGATTTCCAGCTTCCAGTGTCTCTAAAAACAAAGGAATTTCAGCTTACTACCAATTTGTTACTATTATGGGTCAGTTCACTCATACAGTTTCCCCTATGCATGAGCGGTCATATCCTTTCCTTGATCAAACATGTGTTCACAATGACATGGGAAAATGCTAGTGTGAACTGGACTGTACATGGATACAGTTGCAGCTGTTCCCTTCCATAACAACATCCGGGAAATGTGCCATCACGATAGCAGAAACAGCTTCCAGGTGTTTCCATGTTCAGGAGTGCTCACAGTAATGTTTCACCATGCCACACTGGCACTGTAATAGGTCCCCATTTAGGGGTATCTAATTATGTTGCCCAGCCCAAGTCAGCTATTTATGTTGTTTATAGTCCACCTTTCTCACTGGCACTCAAGGCAGATTACAGACAGTGAGTCAATACAATCAACGGGATGGGACATTCGATAAACAGTGAAATAGGATTGGGGTTGTTGAACAAACCAGAAATCCAGAAAACATAAACAAAGCATAAGAGTTAACAGGACTCATTAAACAATGTTTACATAGTAGGATCCAATTTACAGCAGACTATACACTGACGTACAGGCCACAGTCCTTAAATAATTTGTCAAAATAGCTTTATGAATCATTTTGTGCAGTGCTACCCTATTTCCTGAGTACAAAAGCCCACTTGAGTAATTCAGATTTGTATAGTTTGCAGAAAGCCTTCCCAACCTCCTAAGGCAGACCATTCCACAAGGTGGTGGTGGGGGGGCACAACGGAGAAGGCACATCTTTGGGCATTTGCTGATTTTGCCCATTTGCGGGTTGGTACCCGCAGAAGGACCTGCTCAGACCGCACCAGGAACTGCAAGTGAGGTATGTTAAGAAAGGGGAAGAAACCATCCATACACAAATTGCCGTTCATGATCTTGCTGTAATCCACCTGCCCTCTCATGGCACGGATCTTTTTCAGCTTCGTCTCCTGGGTCTCCACTCGCTCCTTCAGTTTCTGAAGCTTTTCACTCTCGGAAACAGACTGCTGCTGACGGCGTTCTTGCTGCTTGAGATAACGTAAACGCTGTTCCTATCAGGAGGAGGAGAACATGTAATCACGTTATTTTTAGAAGCGCGTTACCAGCCACTGAAATTCATTTCGAGATAAACCCAGTAGATAAAGTAAATAACAGTTTTCTTGCCTGCTGAGAAGAGAATAAATGTACGTACTTAAAATTAATGTCAAATGAATTTTTAAAAAAGTTAAATATCCCCTCTACATAAAGATTTTTGTCTAACCAGGCTGCATTTCTAATTTTCCAAAAGATACTAAACATTTCAGTACCCGAGCTAGAGGCTCAGATCTCTAATGGATACAAAAACAATTCCAGTTGAAATATTCATTCCCACACATCTGTGAGGCTTCCTGCAACATGTATTTCCTGCTGCTCAAACATGCTTCCTCCCACACCAAAATGGCTCCTAACCCTCCATTACACAATTTCCCAGCGGAAACAGTGACCAGCAGAGGACTACAAAACAGCAAAGATAAGGAGATCGGCAGCAGGATAAGTGGCACTTCTTTAGAATGACAGCCTATGGACAGAACAAACCCAGGAAATGCTTCCTTTTTTCCCTCCTGCAGCATTCTCTTGACACAGCTACAAATGTAACTTAAGAGGTACTCGCTTCATTCCTGTTATCTAATTCAACACAAACTTCACTTTGCGAGTTTCATTAAAATGATACAAGTCTGCTGAACATTTCCGTATTATCAAAACTATGAAACTCCTTTTACTGTAGAAATACCAACTGCACTGACATGTCAAGTCTGCTTAAGTCAGCAGGTAACATTTTGCTGAGGGCACTGAAACCTGGGTCACCTATGGATACCACCAGTCTAGAAGAGTTGGATTCGAGTCCCGTAGCACCTTAAAGACCAACAAGGTTTTCGTGGTTTAAGCTTTTGAGAGTCAAGGCTTATACCCCAACAATCCTGTTGGTCTAGAAGGTACTACTGGACTCAAACCTAGCTCCTCTACTGCAGACCAATACAGCTGCCTTCCTGAAAAAGTCTAGATAAAATACTCATAGTCTACATCAGCTGTCCCCAACATATTGCCCGTGGGTGCCACAGTCAGTGTTCCCTCTAAGCTGAGTCAGTGTGAGCTAGCTCACAGTCTTTTAGCTTCCAGCTCACACATCTTTGTCTCAGCTCAGGAAGGATGGCTCCAGAGCAAATTAATTTATGCAGTAGCCAAATCGCTTGCTCACAACTTTAATGCCAGTAGCTCAGAAAGTAGAATTTTTGCTCACAAGACTTCACAGCTTAGAGGGAACATTGGCCACAGTGCCCGTTAATACCTTTCCTGGTACCCACAAAGTGTTTCTAGAAAGTGGGGCTTTTGCCTTGACAAGGCTTTTGACGGCTGTGCAGATTTTTTAAGGACATTGATTTGGTAGCAGCTGCCACCACAGCACAAGGACCTTCCCTGTGGGACTGAAGTGCGGCAGCCATTTTGTGGCGGGCTCCACCTCCTCTGCCAACCATTTTGTGGCTGCGCCCACCTCGCTGTATCGGAATTCCAAAGGTGCCCACAGGCTCAAAAAGGTGGGGAACCCCTGGTCTACAGATATATATCAGAAGATCACCTGGCCAGTCTTATGGGTTCTCACCAATGGGTGTTACTCTACCAGAAAACTAGCTGGACTGCCCTGTAGCAGTCTTGAACTGATTTATTTATTTCCTTTCTTACATTTCTACCCCGCCCTCCCAGCCAAGGCCGGCTCATGGTGGCTGCATAGGGCTTTTTTTTCCTGGGGGAATGCACCGAAATGGAGTTTTAGGACCTCTTCGACAAAATTATTTTTAAAATGTTTAAAAGTTCACGAGTTTTCATTATACAGATTGAAAACTTCATTTCACTCTTGAGGGTTCCAGCGCCAGTGTTCCCTCTAAGCTGAGTTAGTGTGAGCTACCTCACAGTTTTTTAGCCTCCAGCTCACACATTTTTGTCTTCGCTCAGGAAGGATGGCTCCAGAGCAAACTAATTTATGCAGCAGCCAAATCGCTGGCTGACCGCTTTAATGCCAGTAGCTCACAAAGTAGAATTTTTGCTCACAAGACTCCACAGCTTAGAGGGAACACTGGTTCTGACACCAATTTTTCAAATGGGGGGGGGGAGAAAAGCCCCGCATCCAAATGGCAACAGTGCAAAGATTGACTGCATTGCTGCAGCATTGTAAAAACACAACACTCGATCAGAGCCAGATCCTGTGCTGTGCATACTGTCTGCTTTTTGTTTTGACTTGCGCTGTCATAAAATCAGGCTGATCTCCCCAGTGACCGGAGTGCTTTTCACAAAGGGGAACAGGACAGAATCAGACTGTCTCCCTTTGTCTGATGAAGCAAATCTAAGCAAAAACAGTGTCACACCCCAGGATGCCTCATCACCTACACTGGATTAATATTATATTAACCCTTGGTCATCAAGTTTTCCATATTGCTGAGGTCTGGGCTTTAGAGACTTTTGCCAAGGCAGCACATTTTCACCCCAATAGGAAGGTCTGTTTACCTTGGCAACCAACATTTGCTGCTGATTTTCGATCTGCTGCTGTTGCCTGGCAGCCATATCCTGAAGTTCAGAAAGCGTGAGTTCAACACGTGGATTCCCAACCTGGAGAGTGAACAGGAAAGCAATGTTAAGAGTGCCACCGCATACTGTGAGCTCTTGGAATCTTTCCATACTTTAGAGGGTTACAGAAAGTTGGCCATGTTATTTAATAAATGATCCTAAACACAGTTAATAAGCAGTACACTCTCTGCCCTTTCCAGGTTTGTTTGTTTGTTTTTAACATTCAGATTTGTACAGGCAAATGCTACAGTATTCTGGGGCACACTAGTGTGCTTTAAGAGACACAGTACCTTGAAAAGCCACCATGCTGGATACATATACCTTTCTCCCTAGGGCTGCCAAGTCCCCCCAGGGGGTGGAAAACCCCCCACCCCAGAGGCCCATTCCCCAACGTCGGGGAATCGGGCCCTGGGGGCAACCCTGCCCCAGCATGCACGTCACAGGGAAGTGACGTTATGACGCCGGGCACGCTGGGGGGAGTCCCCCGCCGGCAAGGTAAGTGCCACTTGGCAACCCTATTTCTCCCTCTATGAGGAATGCTCTGTGCAGCACGGATCCTACCCTCTCTGTGAATACATCAGCAGTAATAGCTTACTGAAGGAAGAAGTTAAGGACCCAGGCCATGCTACACATAAATCCCAGAAACTCTACAGTTGCCCAGACGATACAGGGTACAGCCTTTGAACTTTGACTGATTGGACCAAATGCCTGTTTATTTACATAATTTATAGTCCACCTTTCTCATTAAAACTCTAGGCAGATTACACAACATAAATCAGTGCAATCAACAGAATAAGATATCTGATAATAGAAGTAATACAATTAGGATTACAGGAATCTGAAAACTAAGCATAATTATTAGGCGTGTGTTAACAATGCCAGAAAGTGTAATTACATAGGTAGATAATATAATGACCGCAAGATAATCTACACAGCAAACAGACAGTATGTACTATGCACCATAGTGTAGCCCAAAGTCCCACTCTCTCAATTAAATCACCTTCTTGAACCACTACATCATATAATAACATAGTCTTATTGCCTCTGTCAACATTCCCCCCAAACAATTCTGTTTTACAGTTTGCAGAGGGCCAGAAGTTTGGGGGGGGGGGGGCTTTCATTCCTTCTCAGGCACGCCATGCCACAAAGTTATCTCATCCATTTTCAGGGTGGTACCTGCAGAAGGCCCCAATAGATAAACAAAGCTGTTATGGCGAGGAATGGGGTGGGGAGTGGGGAAACAGACAGTCCTGTAAGATAGGATGGTCAGTCAGGAAGGCAGGAAACTATACAAACTGGATCAATCCACAGTTGTACAGTATGGTGTGCCTCTATCTCAATTCAGAAATGCCCCAGTATTAAAAACTTGAACACTTCACACCAGTAAAATATCAGTCATTATGTAGAAGGGGGGGGGCATGATTACAGGAACCTGGCTGGGAAAGGCGGGCATGTAGTTTCTCTGCTCCTTGGTTCTACCTTGGTTCTATCTCTGATTTCAGGGCTTTCCTTCTTCCCAAGGAAGTGGATGGCAGCCATAGAGCTGCTATGCCTGGGAACAGCTGGGGCAGGAAAAAACCTGCACCCAACCCCAGAGGCTGATGCTCCTACAACAAAGATGCCCTGAAGAGTAATGTTTTGTTTATATGCCAGCCGAGTCACATAATATGGAAGAAATTGAAGTGCTGCTCTCAGGGACACTTGTGAGGGGCTAATACCTGCCCGTTCTCCTGACATTCAGATCAAGGGTATCAGGGATTAGGTAGAAGCATTTCCACTACTGCAACAAAGTCCTTGAATACTGTATTTTACATCTGCCCACTGAAGTGAACAGATATCATTTACTTTTGCACCTCTCGAACTCTGAACCTTTTCAGTATGGTGACCGACAAGCCCAAATTTTATTGGCATGGTGACCCAGTCGGGGCTGGCCCAAGGTTCTTTGGCACCCTAGGAGAACTATAACCTCGGTACCCATCTAGGTCAGCACTCCATTTTCTACAGTGGCTAAGCAGATGTTTTCTGAGAAACTAACAAAGGTTGCACAAAGGGTGCAGCTGCCACTACTGTGAACCCCAAGGAACTGTGGCATTCCGACTTACACAGCCTTTTTCATACGGAGGTTACATTCCAGCCTTTGACCGCCGTCTCCTTCTCCACGACGCCCTCTAACCTCCCCTAAGATTCTCACTCCCTCCAGTGACCATCACTTTTTACATAACCAATATGTGCATGACATTTCAAACTGTAACCCGTTTCACTGGGTGCCATGGAAAACAATGGACAGGATCTTACAGTTTTTGTTCTTAAATGTAAATACATTCCCCCCCCCCTTGTGCTAGGATCACACACCTCTTCAGGGAGCTATTTAGCCCCTCAGGCATTAACATTCAATTTATGGTGGTAGAAATGGCCAACAAGTCACAGCAGACTCATGGCGACACAATTGGGTTTTCACAGCAAGAGTCATTCAGAGGTGGTTTGCCACTGCCTGCCTCTGCGTAGGAACCCTGGACTTCCCTGGTGGTCTCCCATCCAAATACCAACCAGGGCTGACCTTGCTTAGCTTCTGAGATTTGACAACATTGGGCTAGGCTGGGCCACCCAGGTCAGGGCATTCAATATAAAGCATCTTTTAAAAACCCCAGTCTCTCTGCTCAGCTCCCACGATTCCTAAAAAGGACACAGAAATCCTCAAAGTTGGCAGCCACGGATCCTCAACTGGGAGAACTATTACTGATTTGAATCTGCCAGAGGGGCACTAGGGCTTTCATAAAACATGCAAGCTATATTGTTCTGGGCATTTCTGAGTCGGCAGTTCTTTTGTTTTCAAACACAGTCCAAAGAGGTTCAAAGTACGTCTTGCTCTACCACAGAAAACAGGATCTACGCTTGCTCTTCCCACCCCAAAGATCCCTAATGTGAGAGAAGGTACAAGAGAGGGCACGCGGGGGCACAAGACAGAGCAGAAACTTGTTGAGAAAATGTGAAGGGAGTAAATACGCCAGCAGAAGATACAAGCTGGATGAGGAACAGAAGAATTAAA